AAAAAAAAAAAAAAAAAAAAAAAAAAAAAAAAAAAAAAAAAAGGAAGGAAGGAGAGTGGCACCATGACACCATGACTTGAGTAGCATTGTCTGCAGACAAGGAACGTACCGCAGACTGATGAAGAGGTAGGACTGGATGGCTAAAGAGGTGATATGTAGGTGATACAAGACTATCACATGTGGCTTTCTAGATAGGTTTTTGGAGAAATTGTGACAAAGATGGCTGCTAAGACAGTGTTATGTTAGGCTTTTAGTGCATATAGACGTGTTTTAAGGTCACATAAGGAGTTGTGTGTGGCTGCGATTTCCAGTTCTTCCTCTCCCATTCATGATCAATCACCTACTCCACTCTTTTATGCAACACTACAAGGAAAGTGTTCTCACCAGCTATCTGAACTCCTATTGCCAAATCCCGTGGATAATTTTTAGTCTTGCTCTTACTTGACCTTACTATAGCATCTAAAATGATCTATACATCCCTTCTTGAAGAGTTTTTCCCCTCGATTTCCTTCTTATGAAGCCTCAGCCCCTCATCACTGCAACAGCCCCTCCTCAGCCTCCTCTGCCTTCGCTAGTAGCTATTGTTAGCCAGGATTCCATTATCTTCAATGCTCCCTTCCTTCCTGCCACAGTCCCTGGGAAATCTCATCCACACACTTGGGTTTTTGCTGGTAACCCACAAATATGTGTCTGCTTTCAAAAGCTGCACAGGTGAGTTTATGAATATGAGTGTGTAGCCACATATAAAATCTGCTTACAGACTATTGATGTGTCAGATCAGTCTGAAATTTGACTTGTCTGAAATTGATCTTATTTTACCCCACAAATTCTACTCTTCCTCCTCCTTCTCTACTGTCATGTTATTCTATTCATTCTGTAGGTTGAGCCATCAGTCTGGGTATCTACCTTTTCCCAAACCCCTGACATGACATCATCCTCTGTGAATTCTACCTCTTAATAGTTCTCAAATGTATCTCCTCTTCTGCACCTTCACTAAATTCATACCACCTTCATCTCATCTAAATTATTGCCATAGTATTCTAACCAGTCCCACCATCTCCAATGGCAAATCGATCCATTATTTTAAAAAGTGTCTTTATGTCTGTATTTTTTTGAGATGAGAAAGAATTTTCTCAGAAGAGTCTACTATGAAACACTAAAGGACTTGAATTTTCCTCTGTTCATTTTTTCCTAGGGACAACCATTTTCAGCATATGTACTAGCCAACACTATATCCTACTCCTACCTATACAGCTGGCCCTCTGGATGTGTGGGTTGCATCTATGGATTTTTAAAAAATTGTAGTTAGGTCAACAATGATTGTATCTATACTGAACACACAGATTTCTTGTCATTATAACTATTAACATAGCATTTACACTGTATTAGATATCATAAGTAATCTAGATATGATGTAAAGTATATAAGAGGATGTGTTAGTAATACAAGATGGGGGCAGGGAAGTGCTAGACAGAGAAAGGCAGGGTCCCTGGTGAGAGTTCCACCCTCAGGCCTGTGCCCACAGACCTAAATGAGAACAAGCACTCCTGTTTTTGTGCCTTAATGTTGCATTTTCGAAGACCACTCTGGCTCACCACACCCCTCATCCTGTGACAACATAAACCTGAGACCTTAGCGGGCACACAACACCAGCAGACCAGGAGACTGGCAGACTGGCAATGTTGGAATGACATGGCAGATAAAAAGAGACTAGGAGGGATGTCTGGACATGAAGGGGAGTTCAGCCTGGGACAGTCAGGGAAGAGTCTGGCCTCTGGGCAGCCCGACTCCAGGGGAATAGCACCTTCCCACTCCATCCCCCTTTCCAGCTCCCCATCCATCTCACTGAGAGCCACCTCCACTACTCAATAAGCCTTGCCCTCATCCTTCCAGCTGGTGTGTGATCAAATTCTTTTGGGACACTCGGCAAGAGGTCAGGATGCAGAAAGCTGTCACATTGGCTGTCTGTCCTTGTGATAAGGCTGAGGGTCCATTGAGCTAATTAACACACAAATTATCTGCAAATGACAAATCTGAAAGAGCTTTGTAACACACACCCACTTGGACTTTGGAAATCACACTCACCCCTAGATGCTAGCTGGGGGCCAGAGCCCAAAAGCCCTCACCCTGGCCTCTATACCTGCCGGTCTGCATGTTCCTAGGGGTTTGAGCTGTGGGGTGACCAGGCAGGCGAGCCACACCACTTTTGCACATCCTGCAAGGAGAATCAGGAAACTCTCCTGTTTCATTAGGTTATATGCAAATACTATGTGATTTTATATAGGAGACTTGAGCATTCTCTGATTTTGCTATCTGAGGCAGTCTTGGAATCAATCCCCTGTGGATTAGGAAGGACACAAATGACATTATGTCATTGTTCCAAATCACATATCCAATCATTTAACTAGCTTCAGAATGAAATGCTGAAAAATTCTCATCTGCTTTCCTGCTCCAAGTCTGTGCCATGGCCTCCTCTTAACTTGAGTTATCTTGTATGGGTCTCTGTTTTAACGATGCTTGTATGTTGAGAAGAAATTAACAATACACACACACACACACACACACACACACACACACACACACACACACCCCTCCACACATACAGAGAGACCAAGATATAAACAAGACCCTTGAAGAATCATGGAATTGGATCTGTAGCTACTCATAAATGATTATTAATTCATAGAAGTGGAAAGAAGTCTTCTTTCTTTTTTTTTTTTTTTTTTTTTTTTCTTTTTGAGACAGGGTTTTGCTCTGTTGCTCAGGCTGGAGTACAGTGGTGCAATCATGGCTCACTGCAGCCTAAACCTACTGGGCTCAAGTGATCCATCTGCCTTGGCCTCCCATATAGCTGGGACAACAGTCATGTACCACCATACCCGGCAGATTTGTTTTTATATTTTGTAGAAACAGGGTCTGCCTATGTTACCCAGGCTGGTCTTAAACTCTTAGGCTCAAGCAATCCTTCTGCCTCAGTCTCCCAAAGTGCTGGGATTACAGGCATGAGCCATCACTCTGGCCTTAATGAGATTTTTCTTTAAGGAAAGAATTTAATTCTTTTCTCTAATAATTTCCAGCTATACTTATGTTTTATAGAGCTTTACCATGCAACTGTAGAACATTCAATGCCACTCATATGGTACCTCCTCCGTGACATGTTTTCTGGCCTGCAATCTCAAGCATTTTTCCTTTCAAATCACGAAACACACTCTAATTATTAATTATCTGTTTCTTCACCTGATTAGAACATATCATTAGGATAGATATCACTGTTTTATTCAACTTCATTTATTAATGCATTCATTCATTTAAGCAGTCCTCTACAGACAAATAGTTAGCTTGTTTCCAATTGACTTTTGATGAATAAATGAGTGAATGAATGAATGAATGAATGAATGAGTGATAAATCAAATTGGAGCTTGGAGGTCCTAGCTCTGACTCTGTTGTATGACCTTGGACAAGTCACAAAAACACTTTGGCCTCAACTACTTCACCTATAAAATATTAAATTATATGAATTTCATAATATTTTGAAAGGATAAATGAGAGAATACTTTTAAGAGTATTTTGTAAACTTAAAGGGATAGTTCTACCATTGTAAGATATCACCACCTTTGTTGTGAACATGCGTATTTCCTTACCAGATTTAATACAGTTTTATCCTTACTCGTAGAGTCTTGGAATGCAGTAATATGAGCTGGACTTGTGCCTATGAGAAACAGGAAACACACAAAACAGTTGGGGGGAGCAGGAACAAGTAAAAGAGGAGAAAATAGTGAGGGTGGCAATATGGGCTGACCGGTAACTGACAAAGGTCTTAACATATGAGACAAATTATGAACTACAAAAAATGTATATGTGCCTATTGACTCAGAATTGGGATGGAGCAGCTACGGCCAGAGAAGACGTCTTAAAAGAAATCAACGTCTGTATAAATGGCTTTCAAAGAGTAGGATTTTTTTAAAAATCCTTTTTAAGGCTGATGCTGTGTTTTTTAATGGAACACATTACTGGCATAATAAAAAATGGATGGCAGAAAGATGAACAATTAGTAACTTAGTAGCTTTTTAAATAGCTTTACAAGTCTTCTTTCAAAATTATATATGTAAGGCTGATAATAAAAAGTAGGACATCCTTCTAAAACATGGTACCTTTCTAAATAAAATGTCATGAAACTAAGAAGAAAAGATGCACTTTTAACTTGTGCCATTCCTTTTGGTAATTTTTGTTTATTTTTATATACTTTATTTGTACTGATATGTACCGGATAATTATTCTCCTGTTTATTCAATCCATTGTCCTACATTTAGTTCACTGTAGGCACAAAGGTCAGCAGATACAAATATGTTTTAGTATTTAAAGCGTGTATTATATTTGTAAAATTTATGTGGAAATAAGAATAAAATGGTAAGCAGTTTCTTCACAGCTATACAATTTTTTTCCCTATGAAAATTTTATTTTAGTTCTTTTTTTTTTTTTCAGAGGGTCTCACTCTGCTACCCAGGCTGGAGTGCAATGACTCGATCTCAGCTCACTGCGACCTCTGCTTCCCAGGCTCAAGCGATCCTACCACCTCAGCCTCCCAAGTAGCTGGGACTGCAGCCATGCACCACCACGCCCAGCTAATTTTTGTATTTTTTGCAGAGACGGGGTTTCACCATGTTGCCCAGGCTGGTCTTGAACTCCTGAGTTCAAGAAGTCCTGCTGCCTCAGCCTCCCAAAGTTCTGAGATTATAGGCATGAGCCACGTGACCAGCCTTTATTTTAATTTTTAAAAAAATTTAGGGCAAATACTAGATTCATACAGTTCATAAATCAAAGAGTGTAAAAATATTTTACAGTGAAAAATTTTCCTCCCATCCATGACTTCCAGAAATCCAGTTTATGTCCCTAGACACAATGTTATTAATTTTTGTCTAGTTTTCCAGGGGTATTTTATGCATACATAAAAACTTTTTCTTTGAGACCAGCCTAGGAAACACAGTGAGACCCCATCTTCACATTTTTTTTAATTAGTCGAACGTGATGGCTTGCACCTGTAATCCCAACTACTGAGGAAACTGGGACAGGATAAGGGCTTGAGCCCAGGACTTCGAGGCTGCAGTGAGCTATGATTGTAACACTGCACTCCAGCCTGGGCAACAGAGTAAGGCCATCCCCACCTACGCCAAAACCCAACTTTTTCTATCCTTTTTTAACAAAATTTTGTACACTATACATAACATTCTGTACTTTTTTCCCCAAGAAACAGTAGTCCTTTTATATTATTGTAAGAAAAAAGTCTCCTTATTCATTTTTATGGTGCAAATTAGTATTCGATTACACGGATATGCCAAAATATAATCTTCTATTGGTAAAAATTCTAATTTGTTTCTAACAGTTTGTCATTATAGACAATGCTGCAATATATAAGCTTTTGCATATGTCATTTGGGTTGTGTGTACATGTTATCTATAGGATAAATTCCTAGAAAATGAATAGTTGTATCAGTGGATATATACTCCTAACATTTTGATAGCTACTGGAACATTTTTCTTCATATTACAGTACTCCCCAACCAAGGTTTCACTTGCTGCAGTTTCAGTTACCTACTGTCAACCATGGTCTGAAAATATTACCTACAATAATATATTGTGTGTGTGTGTGTGAGAGAGAGAGAGAGAGAGAGACCACATTCACCTAACTTTTATTACAATATATTGTCAAAATTGTTCTATTACTAGTTATTGTTGTTAATATCGAATTAACAAATTAAACTTATCGTAGGTATGTCTATATAGGCAAAAACATACTGTATATAGGGTTTGGCACTATCATTAGTTTTGGGAAGCCACTGGGGGGTCTTGGAATGTAGCCCCAATGAATAAAATGGGACTGCTATAATTACAAAAAGTTACATTTCCTACGGCACTTTTCTTTTGCCCGTACAACTTTACCAACAGAGTGTAATCAAATTTGTGCATCTTTGTCTATACAATAGGTGAAAAATGGAACCTTGCTGTATCTTCACTTAAAAGATTTACTTATTCAATGTGAGGTGGAATATAAAGACATTCTGTAATTAACCCATGAAATGGATTCCATTTTGCAATTTTGTGACTATTCTAGTTTAGCACCTACATCTCAAACTTAAATGTCGACTTTAAACAATACGATGAATTTTCCTCGATTGATTTTTTTTTTTTTTTTTTTTTTTTTAGTGGGAATTAGAGCCTATTCCTCCCATTAATGTCCACTAAAGTGGTGTCTCACTGAGAATGGTCAGGAATAACTATTTTGTTTTCAGAGTCAAGTAGCAGAAAAGGACCTAACAAACCACCTGGTTAGTTCTTTTGCCTCGGGGTGGACCATGGCTAATTGCTCCATCCTTCTAACCTGATAAATTTGAACTAGGATTCCAAAAATTTCCTAAGCAGGTGATGTTTCTTCTGTGCCACAGTTGAAAACCAGTAAATTCTAGTCAATCTTTGCCATAGGAAATATTTGTCCTGTTACAATATATCATAATTTTTGTTCTGCCTACAAAATTGAAAAAAAAATGGTACCATCCTTATATGTGAAGCCCATGGTTAGTTACCACTTAGACTTCTTTTCTGCAGACTACATGTTCAAAATTATTTTATAAGAATTATTTTACAAAAAATTAAAATTAATATTATTGAGTTAGTGTGGATAGCTGCTTCACTAGCTTGCAGACTTGGTTAGTGTTTTACAATGAAAATGATGCTTACACCTGTCAACATTTTACCTTGGGCCCCTATCATCGGAGAAGCTGATCTTGTATCCTCCTCTTTCTTACTGTCGAGGTCACAAGTAGCCATATTCAGAATTTCTAATCCAGGATCTGTCAACAGGAAGAAACAAATGGTGTGAATACTATGCAAAAAGAGTATTTGCCTACGTTCTCATTTGCACACACCCCAGCAGGCCACAGGACATCAGGCTGAAAGCTGTAATACTAACATTCTATTGTAATATTACTTCCAAATCCACTTACCACTTGAAGTTATAGTACTGTCTGTCGATGAAGTGTGTCTGGGTAATGGTAGTGAGGAATGTTCCCTGCCAAAAAGATAGCAAAAATATTTTGGAGTGTCAGGTCCAAATAATTCTCTTAAAACCAATGAAATATGCATACAAAGTCACACACACAACACAAACAAGCAAACCTGGACTGCAGCAGGCTCTCAGAACACACGCGTTCAACACCATTCTCCTTAAAGAAAAAGAAAGGAGACGTAAGTTCAACGATTTGACATTTTCCATTCCAAAGAAGTTGTTTTAAGCAAACATTTTCATGCAATTCTAAATGAACCCATATTTACTCTGCTCTTTTGGGAATGATATGGGAATGGGACGGTATAAGGCAGATGGATATACACACTTCCTCAAAGCTGTATTTACCCAAAAATCCAATAGTAAGTATATTTACAAGTCTGATATTTAAAGAAAACCTGATAAAAATTTTGGGCAAAACAAATTCTAAACTCAAAGGGCAGATAGGGCTTATTTCGTAAATTTAAGTTTTCTTTAAACAGAAAGTTTTACATAGGCATAAAACATTTCTAATTTCTATGTGTGCGAATATTACTCAACCTAAAGTTTTTGACCTGGTGATTTTAAAACTGCTCTCAGTTTTCTAGTTAGAAAGATCATGCATTTCAAACTTAATCAGTTTCTTAAAGATCTGAAGGATTACATCTAAGTCAGCACCTATTACTTGATGCCCAAAAAGAGCTTATCAAAATTATAGTCGCAGCCTGCCAGGGCAAGTGTTTGAAAGTTTCACATGAACCTCTTAATTTCTACAAGGAATTCCTATTTTTGGGGTAACTTTAGGGCATTAAGGTTGTATAACTTTCTTTTTCAAAAAATACTGTGAGAACATAGTTTCCTTTCTAATAACAGGCTTTTCTAGTATATTATTTTAATTATTTGATTTAGTCCAGAAAATAAATTGAAATTCAATAAATTAAAACTGAAATCATTCAGACATATCGAAAGCCTGCACAAGGTAAAAAGAAGTCATTTAGGTATTCCATAATCAAGCAGAACTTATTAACTGTCACAACCAACAATCAGTACCCCTGGGGGAATACTGTATATCACACATGGTATTTAGAATCAATCCAAGAAAGTATCTCCTACAGTCACAGACAAGTACAGGTTTACTAAGGGTTTGCTGAATTTGTATTTATTCAGTACAATGATAGCAACTTATATAGGTTTAGCACATTAAAATTTACAAGACCCCTTTAATGTATCATCTCATTTAATTCTCCCAACAACATTAGTGGTAGGTTTTAGCAAGAAAAGATTTACTTATTGCAGGTAATGAAGTGAAGGCGAGTAAATAAAGTAATTTCCCGAGACCAGTCAGAATGGTGGAGCCAGCTTTCAAACACATATCGAACTAAATACTGTGTCCTCTCCACTGTAAACAAAACCAACTTGGGCATACCCTAACCCAGGCTATTGGAGAGGAAAAGACTTTCAATGATTTTACTATAAACTTATAAGATGTTCACCTCACATGTTTAGAAAAATCCACAATAAACTTGCAAAGCAAGAATTTATACCTAATACTCCTGTATCAATGATGTTAGTCAACCTTTTTTATTTCATTTTGTCTCTGCCTTAAATGACTTTGGGTCAGATCATACATGACTGACACTCCTCATGACATCAGTTTAATTTAATTCAACAGACTTTCATCCAAATCCCACTTTGTGCTAGGAACAGTGACAAGGGCTAAAGATTATATACAAAACCACAGCTCTTATCCTGCAGAAGCATGTAGGCCAGGCAGGGAGAGAAATATATAATACAAACACTACTCTATAACTTACAAGCAGCATGCCACAGAGGAAAGTAACATGCACAGAGCAGAATTAACAGAGTGGGGATATCTGAATTAATTTTTTTTTTTTTTATGAGACAGATTCTTGCTCTGTCGCCAGGCTGGAGTGCAGTGGCGCAATCTTGGCTCACTGCAACCTCTGCCTCCTGGGTTCAAGCAATTCCCCTGCCTCAGCCTCCCAAGTAGCTGGGACTACAGGCACACACCACGATGCCCAGCTAATGTTTCAGTAGAGACAGGGTTTTACCATGTTGTCCAGGATGGTCTCGATATCCTGCCCTCCTGATTCGCCTGCCTCAGCCTCCCAAAGTGTCGGGATTACAGGCGTGAGCCACCACGCCCGGCCTGAATTAAATTTTAAAGAGAAATTGTACCTTAAATTGTAATTGTCCTATTTTTAAAATATTTAAATAAATTATATTAGTAATTTTTATATGTTTATTTAACTATACTGTTATGTGTGTAATGAGCCAGGCATGGTGGCACATGCCTGTAATCTCAACACTGTGGGAGGCTGAGGTGGAAGGACTGTTTGAGGCCAGGAGTTTGAGAACAACCTGATCAACGCAGCAAGAGCCCATCTCTACCAAAAAAAATAGCAGGGTACAGTGGCACTCACCTGTGATCCCAGTCACTTGGGAGGGTGAGACGGGAGGATTGCTTGAGCCCAGGTGCTTGAGGTTGCAGTGAGCTGTTATCTTACCACTGCACCCCAGCCTGGGTGACAGAGCAAGATCTTGCTTTACAAAAAATAAAAAGAAAGAAAGAAAAAAGAAAGGAAGCTATAAAAATTGGAGAAAACTAAATATCCTTCAGTTTTATTGAGTGTAACATTTCATAAAAATAAGAATTGATTTCTTAATAAAATCTAATATTCTAACACATATAAAAACATTGTTACTATGTGTGGCATAAAATAACATTTATTATTACACGATAACGAAAAAACACTGTTGTCAGAAAAGCCTTCATTTTGTATCTGTCAAGATCATGGAATTCGTATTTAAGAAATATGAAATAAGAACTGCATTCTCATTTTCTATTCCATTATACCAGTTGCCAATTTGGGGAAAAGAGAGCACATCATTTCTGCAAACCTTTTCAAAAAAAAGTCTAATTATGAGTAAAGTCAAAGTAATAAATACAGTAAAAATATGGTTTGCCTCCATTATGTTACATATCAGCTACATTTGCTCTAATGCTCTGTGTTATGCTTTCTTTTGCCCTATGCCTTAGATGTGAAACACTGTAGTTAGAAGTTTTTCAATAAATATAACATTTATTGATTACACAACTAATTATGTGATTTTGGAGAAATTGCCTATGTTTAGTAGCCATATATTACTACGTTCTTCTGAAACAGTAGCAAGGTAAGCAACTGGATATTCTTCTCAAATCACTCATCTTTATAAAACTCAGTGATCAGAAAACAACCCACTATACAACACATCCCAATCCTGAGTTTTCCTAAGTTTGGTCTAATGACATTTTTTTTTCTTCTTCTTACGCGAAAAACAAAAGTAAAGATTTTTTTTTTAAAATCTGGTTTCAAATTTAGGATGACAGTTCATGAAAACTGAAGATGAAGCCTTCAGAGGGTTGGGACAAAAACTTTCCATAATTGGGCTCTTTTCTTCCAGCTTCTAAAATCACCTCTATTTAAACTAGCACACACCAACTATGACGCCTAGACAGATGAGAAAGATAATCTACTAGATGTAATTTAAAACCAATGAAAATCAAGAATAAGAAAGTTCAGATGAGAGATTTACTTACATGTAGAAGATTGGCTCAAGTCAATGAATCTAACACATGCCGACAGCAGAGAGCAGGGAGAATGCTCTTTCTGTCTAAGCCATTCAAATATTAACCTGCATAACATTTACATGAAAAATCCATGGTCCAGCCCATTTGCTTTTGACAGCAAGAGTCTAATGTAGGGTGGGGTAGCAAAGGTACTCATGGAAAAAATGAAACAGATTCTCCCATGGGCTGGGTCAGCAAACACAGGAGACACACACACACACACACACGGCAATATTATTTCAATATTTAGATAGAACAACAATAAAAAATAACTTTTACGATTAATTAACCTAATCACCCAGGATTACTTTATTTTTGCTCTTTTATATGAAATACTACACTACAGATTTTGTGATCAGAAACCTTCTACTAATAAACATTTATGATTCCAAAGTAATGTTCACTATTTGATCCATTTTAGGCAACTGATGATAGTTAAATAAATTAATGTGATTTTCTGATAACAAAAAAGTAACAAAAAGAGTCTATATACACTTACTTCTGATTTGACTCAGTGTCTGTTTAAATGTTCCAAAAAGAGGAAGAATGCTAAGTTGAATTTTAAACAATTAGAACTACTGGAACCTAAACAAAGCTAAATTTGCTTATAGTTTTTTTTTTTTTTAGTTCTAACTAAAGTAATACCACACCCTCAGATCTACAGGACACACCCACCACTTTCAGGTTCATTTATAATACAGTTACCAGTCAACTTCTACATGTTCCAATTTTGCAACAGGCAGTGTTATTTATTCTCCAAGGTTATTAATGCTGCACCCACACATAACTTGAAAGAACAGGATAGACCATGGCCATAACATCTGAGATATTTTTAAATTGATCCTGTTCTTGGCCTTAATAAATCACCTCCTCCCAGTGATAGTGTATCTTAGACAAAAACATGTAATAACATGAAGGATAACTCAAAGAGAGGCAAGACACTTAATATTTGGTATATGTAATATTTTTTTAACAGCCAAAAGAAAAACAGAGAGGGCCGGGCGCGGTGGCTCACGCCTGTAATCCCAGCACTTTGGGAGGCCGAGGCGGGTGGATCACGAGGTCAAGAGATCGAGACCATCCTGGTCAACATGGTGAAACCCCGTTGAAACCCCGTCTCTACTACAAATACAAAAATTCAGCTGGGCATGGTGGCGCGTGCCTGTAATCCCAGCTACTCAGGAGGCTGAGGCAGGAGAATTGCCTGAACCCAGGAGGCGGAGTTTGCGGTGAGCCGAGATCACGCCATTGCACTCCAGCCTGCGGAACAAGAGCGAAACTCCGTCTCAAAAAAAAAAAAAAAAAAAAAAAAAAAAAAAAAAAAAAAAAAAAAGGAAAATCAGAGAAACTCATCTCCAGATCACTGGCCTGTTTCAAGATACCCTCTGCCTTCACGCTGCTGCTAATTCTGATTCTGGGTGATATGAGCAGCTAGTTTTCTTTTTGAGTGTTTACTATGATCCAGGTGTTTTGCACACATTACAGAGTATCTTGGTGGGGTCAGAGCTGAGACTGAAGTACAGTAGAAGGAAGAATCAATTTTGTTGTCA